AAACCCCAAAACCCCAAAACCCCAAAACCCCAAAACCCCAAAACCCCATTTTTTAATAAAATTATTGATAAAAAAGCTAATCTAGATCTTTATAACATAAAATGTTCTTGATTGACCTACTATGCAACCAGTACTTCTTACTATTCTTCCTCGTACAAGGCTGTACAGCCTTGTACCTGGTAAGAACAGCTGTGAAGAAGTGAGAGCCTTTGTCAAAGACAAGGGTGCAAGTCCCAGGTAGGTTTTTAGGGTGATTGTACAGCACTTGAGAGGAAAGATGTGAAGAAATGGAATGTGGTGGAGTTTTATGTGGTTGGATTTTTTTTGCTTTTTATGAGAGTTTTTATGACGGTAGGGCTGTTTGTGTGATTTTGATTGACCACGATGGTGATTACGAGGAAGTATGATCTTATGAAACCTCTGCCGTATGAAGTGAGAGCGAGGTGCCAGTGGTGGGCTAGGTGGATGTGTAGAGGATTCTTGTTCTTTGCAGGATTTATGTGGATTGATGAAAAAGATATCCAAGTTGATTATTCTGAATATTTAGGACCTAATTATGACAAAAGAGAAAGGCCTAGTCTTCTTGTATCTAATCATTCCTCATGGGTTGACATCATCCTCTTTATGTACTGTAAATATTTCCCTAGCTTTGTGAGTAAAGAAGTACTTAGTAAAACTCCTTTGGTGAAAGTTGTCGGAAGAATGCTCAATTGCTTGTACGTTGACAGAGAGACTAGCAAAGACAACAAGGATAAAATAATACAAGATATTATCCAAAGACAAGTCTTAATGGAGGAAGGAAAAGATAAATTCCCACTTATAATCTACCCCGAAGGCACAACTTCGAATGGTTTCGGCATGATGGAGTTTAAAAGAGGAGCTTTTGTATCTTCAAAACCTATCAAACCCATTAGCGTAAAATATAGAGGTCGTAATTTCCACCCGACATATGAAGTGCTGCCTTTCTTGTCTCATTTTGTTCTTCTTCACTGCCAACTTTTCTCCTCACTAGAGATCCAATATTTCCCCATTTTTGTGCCCAACGATTACATGTATGAAAACACAAAGTTTAAATTTCAGGACAAGAAAGAGTTGGTTTACGGTGAGACTATCAGAAAGATAATTGAAGATAACTCAGGGATCAAAAGGACCGACACCACTCTTAAGGACAAGAAGCAGCTCCTGGAGACTCTGTACAACCAAAAAGGTTTTAACTAGCTGACGTACTTGCAATTTTGGAAATACTCTACGGGGTTTTGGGGTTTTGGGGTTTTGGGGTTTTGGGGTTTTGGGGTTTTGGGG